CCAGCATGGTGGTGGCGGTAGACATCCTACGGTCTGGACCAAAAGGGGACCACGATATGCTCCAACCCGAGCTGTATGGAGCTCTTTGCACGGCAGCAAAGCAGGGCCGAGTGGTCTTCATTGGAGGAGGACCCAACTGCAGGACATGGTCCATCCTGCGCCACATACCAAAACCGGGGGCTCCCACCCCGGTGCGAGGGCGCACTCCAGAGACACTTTGGGGCCTTCCACACCTGGACCAGGCCGCCCAGACTCAACTTGATGATGACAGCATCCTCATTCTGAGACAGATGTACATCACCAGCCTGGCAAGGGCCTCACGAGCGGCGGTTTCTCTGCCAGGGCCCAGGTCCTTCCTGGAACACCCGGAGGACCCAGTGGTGAGCAGCTCGCTGCCCAAAGCCAAGGAATGCTCATCCTTCTGGATCACAGAGGAGGGGCAGCTTTGGATGGAGGAGAACTCCTTGACAGCAATCTCCTTCGACCAGTGCCGCCTGGGCCAGCTGGTCAAGAAGGCCACTACGCTGGCCACGGATCTCCCGATCCAGGACTGGGATCAAATGCGGTGCACGCATCAGTCACATGTGGGCACCAACGAGTCCTCGACTCTTAGCAGATACCCTTGGGATATGATGGCAGGCCTGGCCAAAGCCATCGCTGTGTCACTCGCAGCGCCGGGGCACATCCGGATCCCCTCACAATTTCCGGGAAACCCCAAGGAACCACCTAAGGGGCGGGGGTCGGACCCCCCGGAAGGCCATTCCCCCCGGGGAAAACGGGGGCCCAGTCAAGGAGGCGGTCCCTCCTCATCACACCAGGGCTCAAAGCCCGGAGGCAAGAACGCCCCGAAGCCCCGCCTGCACGGGCAGTTCCACCCTGAGGCAGACACCGTAAGCCCTCGTGGAACAATGAACCCAGACTTCCCATCTCCCATGCCCCCGATGGCCGGAGATGCGGAACAACTGGGGAAGGAGGGACAGGGGGACCAGGTCCTGGACCGCCCCGAATGCCTGCCCGCTTTCAGGGTCCCACACCTCACTGACCGGGTGGCGATTGTCCAATTGGGTTTCCGCTCACGCCCCCTGAGGGATGGGGGGGGAAAACCTTCCCCAGGAGGCTCAACCCCCCTTTTCGGAGAATTTCCCCATTGGCTACTTTGGGCACCCTGATCTTGACCCTTACCCGGCCCTGGATTGACAAGGTCCGAATGTCCCTGGCATCAGGTGCCACCACACACCCCTTCCAGGAAGCCGACCTCGAGGAGCTGCGGGCTATCCTAGGACCGAGGCACCTCCATGAACGATGCCCAGGACAACCCTTCCTCCTGGACTTAGTGTCGCACTTGGCATCCCTTTCAGGTGACCCTGATTGGGAGTTCCCCCTAACACTGAAAGAGGGGGTCCCCTTGGGAGTCTCGGACCCTACCTTGACCTCCCCGGGAGTTTGGCCCACTAAGGAGGAGCTTAAGGGAGAAGCCTGGCTGGGGGAAGATCCCCCCCCGCCAGTGGCTCATGATAACTACCCAACGGCTGAACTCTTTGCCAAGGAAATCGAATCAACCTTTTACGAGGAACGAGCCTTGGACATGGTGGACGGGCCCTTCACTCGCTCCGAGGCGGCAGAGAGGTGCCGCTGCAAACCGGAGGAACTTTGCCCGGGCCCCCTTGCAGGGATTGATGAGTCGGACAAGATCAGGACGATCTATGATGGCTCAAAAGGGGGAGCAAACGCACACATCCAGGCTCACACGGAGGAGAAGACCACCGCACCGATGGTTGGAGACTGCCTCCATGCCATCCACTGGCTCAGGACAGCGGCGGACCATCCTCATCTACTCCGAGCCCCATCCTCGGGCACTGATGAGGAACCTCGGGATGTTCACCAGCCGGTGCAGGGGCAGTCCCCAGGTGCCGAGGGCCCTGAGAGGGACCCCCACAGCACCAGCCTGCCCCCAGGTGCCGAGGGCCCTGATAGGGGCAGGCGGATGATGGAGACCTCTGGCGGCCTGGACGTCTCTCCGCGGTCAACACCCTCAGGGAAGGGGCCACTCCCAGGTGCCGAGGGCCCTGATAGGAGGGCCCCATTCCCCCCAACCCCCCCAGGCACGGAACGCCCTGGGGGGAGCAGGGGGGAACCCCTGACGTGGCAGCCGCCGACACAGGGGGAAACCTTCATCATCCTCAAGGCGGATGTCACCAAGGCCCACAGGCGCATAAAAGTGCTCCAGAAAGACTGGAAATACCAGGTGGCCTGCATCCAGAACCGGTGGTGGGTCAATAGAGTGGGCACGTACGGCATGGCCTCGGCACAACTGTACTGGGGAAGAAAGGCATCCTTGGTGCTCAGACTCTTGTACTACATCTTCCCTCAGGTGGACTGGCACTTAGTTTTTGTGGACGACTACTGCTGGGTCCTCAGATGCAGCAGGGCGGACTGGGACGCCACAGCCATCCTGGCCACTCTTCTGGCGCTGGGAGTCCCGCTTTCTTGGAAGAAGACGGCGCTCTCCCCGGTCAATACCTGGTTGGGATTCGTGGTGGACCCAATCACGCCCTGTGTGCTGCTGGCTCCAGTCAAGCACGTCATAATCCTGGCCACTCTCAAACGGCTGGCCCAGGGGGACATCTTTACCAGCAAGGAGGTGGAACAAGCCCTGGGCCGGATTCAATGGGCTACTTCGGCGTGTCCATTGACGAAACCTTTCCTCCAGCCCTTTTGGAGCTGGAAGAAGGCCTGCACCACTTCGGGCAGGCCACCGAAGCTGGTTCGTGCTCTGGCCATCCTTCTGGGGAAGCTCTTCAACCAGAGGTTCCCACTGGCATCTCCATTTGCTCCCACACTTCCATGGACGGGGGCATCTGATGCGGGAGCTGGCAAACAGGCGGACCATGCATGGGTTGGTGGTTGGTGCTCGGACGTGCCCAACCCCGACAAGTCCCGAGTGAAGTGGTTCCAACACAGAATCACACCGGAGGGCGAGCCGTGGGCCTTCACTACTGGGGACCCGCAGCGGGCGATAGCGGCCTTGGAGCTCTTCGGCCTCCTCCTTTTGGTGAGGGCTGTTCTGCTTTGTGCAGCCGGCTCGGCTTCTCACACTAGGATTCTGGTTGCTAGTGATAACCAGGGAAACGTTTTCTCCCTGCTTAACGATTCCACTCGCAGGATGCCCAATGCGGCCATCCTCATGGAAATTGTGTTAACACTGCATGACCACCAGGTCATGTTAGGACCGTCGCATGTGAAGCGCGACTTTAACACATGGGCGGATGAACTTACTCATCCGGACCCGCAATTTCCGACTGAGAACCGGGTCTTCCCCTCAGTCGAAAGCGAATTGATCAAGCTGATCTTCGCTACTTTCCTTCCTCACCCATGATGCCGGGAGGGCATCCGGTGAGGTGGGAGGATTCCTCCCTCGCTGTGGGAGTGGCATCAATTCTACTCCCATCAGCTGCTGAGGGGAGCTGCCCAGTGGAGCTGGGCAATCCTCCCATTTTGGCACTAATCCTTATGCGGCGTAAAGGATGCACCGTTTCGCGATTAAGGTACCAGTAGCACCAATGTGGTGCTTTGAAGAGTCTGTTGGATATGATAGTGCGCCCTGCAGGTGTAGTCTAGTGTCGGAGCCTGGCTTATATCAGGCACCACACCAGGATCATCCATCGGCCGGCTGAACATACCCAAAATTTACACTTCCGGGCTTGCACTAGCAGACCGAGATTTGATGTGCGCGCTGCCATGCACATTGCGCACAGACAAATCCAATGCGCAATGTGCACATTCGAACTCTGTCGTCACATTTGCAGCCAATTTATGCAGGCCCCATGATCTAGTCCGCGCGACATAGCTGGGCAAACGGCTTTGCAACCATGTAATTGTTGCTGCCTGAAGCAGCAGGCTAAATATGACGTGGTGTTTGGGCCTAGCAATGGGGGGAAATTCACGTTTTTTCACGGGTAAACTTCGTCCTTCACGCAAAATTCACGGTTGGCTCACGGTCCCCGATTTGTCAGCGAGATTGGTGAAGCACACAAATCGATGCCGTTTGCGATTCCCATGCAGCACGCTGGCCTGCAAGCATCGAATTACCACCTCCTAGACGGAAGCCTGCACATAACACGACCCAATACATGTTGTTTTTCAGTGATGCTACGAGTTTGTTGTTGCGCGTGTGACTTCTTGCATGCTGATGCCATCGCGTGAACCACGCAGCGCAGCATAGCAATACTTGCATGTGGCCAAGGTAATCTCGATCCATGGGGTCCATATCCATGTATGATGCATAGCTAGCATGAAGGCTTACCTTGTCAAATGCATGCAAAATATGCCATGTATGACTGCAATGTACATTGATTGGCATGCACGCATGCATGTTACATCACCGGACCTTTGATGGTACTTTCAATTCCGAGCCCGGCTGACTTCGCAGATGGGCCCAGCCGACAAATACACCATTCACGGGTCAAACACCGTCTTTTGGGTTAAACTCCGTCTTTCTGTAAATACATTGTTTACTAGCGTCTTAAAAGTACTGGATATATATATATATATATATATGTATATATATATATATATACATGTAGATATGTATACATGCGCCGCCACACACCACCACACCACCACCACCACACCAACCCACACACCACCACACACCAACCCGCGCACCACCACACCCCCACAACAACCCACCAACCCACGCACCAGCACACACCAATCCCACGCACACCACCACACACCACCACATTCCACACCACCAAACACACAGCATTCCAGTCGGTGAGTGCAAGAGATTTCCAGTGAGCGAGTGGTTTACATGCTTGTTAGTCATCATTTTTGGGACGTGACCCTTACTCCCTCAACCCTCACCCCCTCACCCCTCACCCCACCCCCCCCCCCCTCAACCCCCCCCCCCCTCGGTTATAGTCTTCAGAAACCATTTTGCAACCTAGGGCAGGCTCCAAATCCCGATGTTGAGACATAGTGCGAGAGCCTTGCGAAAGGCATCCATCGCCAAGATCTACTTGATGATCAAGGGCATAGAGGCGCCCATGTTTGGCCGTGAGCTAGGGGTGTGTGTGTGTGTGTGTGTGTGTGTGTGTGTGTGTGTGTGTGTGTGTGTGTGTGTGTGTGTGTGTGTTTTAGAAGCCCCCCAAAGTGGAGTTTTCGTTCTCCCTGCAAAGCCACAACAAGACAAGGTTTCGGATTTCGGAGCCTGGAATCTCCGGCGCGAGCCGGGACCGACATCTCATGGGGGACAAAAAGGCCCTGTAATCAGCACGCAGGCCGTGATTCTCTAAAGTCGCTTCTGCCGATTTCTGCAAAATGAGGTGCACCCCAGTGATTCGCTTCAGTTTCTCGAAATGGCCGCTAGTGATAGTGGTCACTTCCAAGCATTCTGGAGCCGGGGGTCGGAATCTTCCCAGAAAATCACACAAAACACCGAAAGGGCTGAGCTTTTGGAAAGAACAATGGCTGAAACTGAAACGAATGGGGCATCAACCAACCTCTTGAAAGTTGCAATGCCATGGCCAAGAACCAGCGTGTCATAAGTGTAGGGGAACCATATCCCTCCAGCCAAACGGGTGGGTTTCCACTTGGTTGCCCCTTCAACCCCAGAACACATATTTCTGGTTGGCGGAATGCCAAGATCCTCACACACAATCACTTGCACAGGTGAAGAAGTTCGCTCCAGATTCGAGCACGACGGGCTCGGCAAAGATCAAGGAATTCCAAACGAAGATGGAGGCTGGGGTCTCCCAAAATGGTGTTCGCATAAATCTGCTGCCAAATACTATAGCATCCCCAGATCGTTGCCACCATAGGCAACTGCAAGCCGTGTTCTCTTTGGTTTCCACGTCGTAAAATGGACGCGCTCAGGGGTTGCCTCCAAGCAGAACAACCAACAAATCCGGCGCTCTCAGTCTCAGCGGCACGCAGGAGATGACCAAGCGGCTGAAGGACCTAAAGGCGAAGAACGCCAACCGCAGGAAGACCGCCTACACCCAGGACGCCCACCCCATTCGCGCAAATGGATCCCACCGATGGATCGACCATCGAGTTGTTTTTTTGGTTGTTTCTCTCGCCTTTGGCGAAAACGATCGCCCCCTCCCCTCCCACCTCAAAAAAGAATTGCCGCGGAGTTTGTTTCAAGTTGTTTCTTTGCAGTTTCGGGTTGGTCTCGACATCATTTTAACCTTCTTCTAGGCATTTGTTTGCCATCTTTTGTGGTCCAGAACAAGGGGAGGCAATCCTAGCCTATTCCAACCTGCGGAGATTAAACGGAACAAATAAAAGCACCGCCCATTTTGTTGCTGGGCCAACGAACCGGATGTTCATTTGGGTTCCTTCGAAGGGCAAGCAGACTTTCTGGAAAAGGCATTGCTCATCGAAGTAGATATCGTTTTGGATTTAAAGGGGCTGTCGTAACCTCCTGAACCATCGATCATCCCCCCTAGAATAGAGTTGTAGAGAGATGATTACCCAAAAAAAGAAGAAGAAGAATAAACAGAGAGGCCGTGGGTCGCCAAATGATACCCAAATGGCACCTTGGTATATGGAAACAAAGAGCAAACCCCGCACTGCCAGATGTTTCTGTTTGAGCCACACCCAAAACACAACCAATTATTGTGTAACCCTCGCTACATGGGTCGCGGTATTCGACAGCGCTTCGTCCATCGGGTGGGTTTGTCTCTGGTCCAGGAGTCCCAGAAGTTGGTGAAGCAAGCGGAAGAACTGGCTGGCCAGGCCGATGTCCTGAGAGGAAAAGGATCACATGGCCATGGGTCAGTGAACATCAACCAATCCCCACGATAGGTTCTAAAATGGGTGGGTGAATTCACCTACCAAAATGGGATCCAAAATGGGTGGGCCGCCAGTAGTTTTACCCTTTTACCAACTGTTTTGGTTGGGAGGGTTCCCCTCGAATAGACTGCAGGAAACAGGGTAGCCTTATTCTGACCTCTCTGGAGGACCTAGCATGGGTGAACCTGGATCCAGGTCCACCAGCTTCATTCGACCTCACCGATGTTTTAGGGTTCGAACGGAACGGTTGCTGCCCCGAAACGGTTGCGGGAAGGGAACCGGAAACCCATACTGTGGATGGACAAAATCCTGCACCACATGGGAAACCACTGCTTGTTGGTATTTACAAAGGGATCATCATTTCATGTGTTTTTGCTGTTGTTGTGCAGGATTTCGTCCATCCACTGTATTTCCAATTCCCAACAACGACGTAGACCCATCGCTTCCGACAAAGACGTCGTGTTTCATCGCTTCGCTCAGGCGGCCAAGATCGTGGAGCTCTTCGGGGAGGAAGGGCATTGGTGGGAGTGGAAACAATACAAGACCCCGGCAACATGGGTATGTGACCAAACCTGGAGTCTCCTTCTGACCCTCAAAACATGGTTGGTCATTACCCAAAATGAAGGTGTTATGGATCCATTTTTTAAGGGTCATGGAGTGGGAACTGGCCCCATCCCCCCCACATGGGCCGGGTTTTCCTCTTGGCTTGCCTTGAGAACGAGCCGAAAAGACGCGAAGCCATTTGCTGGCACCTGCTAAGGGCCATCAAGTGGTGCCCCAAAGGCCCTGAGTGTCTTTTGGGGCAGTTCGACGGCCCCAAGGGAAGGTGCTCAAAGGATCTGTTTTTTGAAACCGGAAGGCGCCCGTGAGACTCACTTGGGTCTTCTTCATCGAGGGTGGCCCTTGTTTAGGGGTTTTGAAGGGGAAAAAGGGACACCCACTTTGGAGGGGTCCTTTCACACATCCACTTAGAGAGTCCAAAAGTACAAGGGAGGTTGGGGAAAAAAGCGTATCTCTAATTCACCAGCCTCCGGCGAGTTGCCGAGGGGGTCCCTCTGAAAAGGATACGCTGCAAGAGTTTGATGGTCACAAGACCTGGTCACTTGGGGTTAGGGATGGTCATGGACCCTTTACAAAAGCAACACAACCAAGGTAAAGGGGGCCGAGCGAGCCGGCAATTGACTTGGAGTGTCGTGGTGGCCAGCCAGCCAGCCCAGCCAGCCCAGTCAGCCCGGCCAACAAGCACAGCGTCTGAATGGTAGTATAAATAGTAACATATCCTTAATGGAGAGTGGCGTGGTTGCTTTTTCTCCCACTGAACCAGCTATTCGTCCCCCCACAAGCAAACTCACCTCAAATTGGCAACCACACGGGCTTCTTGTTCCGGCTCCCCCAAAGGAGAGAAGCCAAAAAGGGGCGGCCTCCCCCCCCTGCCCCAGCCTTCCCCTCCTCACCCCGTAACCCTCCCCCCCCCGTCCCTCCCCCCGCCCTGGCAAGAGCTTGGGGTTCTCCATAGGAGCAGCTGGCGAAGGCCTCCGAGGACCAGATCCGCGCCGCCCAGGAGGACGTGGCCAAGGCCCCGCGCGAGCCATGAGGGCAAGCCGGGGGGGGGGAATTTTTTGGCGTCGCCGGGGGGGGGGGAATCGGAGCGAACGGAAACCGAGGGGGAGGGTGACATGGGTTGAGACGAGGAAACATGCCCCGAGTCACCGCCAGGTAGGTACAAAATGGCATGTTCACCACCTTGCAGTGCCTAGTAGCGCCAGGTAGGTTTAGCGGGGCAGGATTACCAGGGCGGAATCACGGATAGCACAGTCGCCTAAATTGGCTTTCACAAGAAGCTTCAGTGCAGGCCGGCAAGGAGCGAAGAAAACAAGACGCGGATGAGGTGATTGGATCTCCTTTGAAGTTCTAGCATCATTTTTTGGGCCATTTGACAATTGTCTTTGAAGCAAACGGAAAGGTTCAGCGAACATTTAGAAGCGGTTTGGTTGAGGGTACCCGTGTGGGGTTTCCTTTGAACCGGGTTGCAGCAGTTCGGGGGTGCAAACGCTTGATTTGAGACACCCAGGTTTGGGGGGCATCTCCTTGGTTCAATCAAAATGTCTGAACTGAACGCCTTATTTTAGCCTTGGAGGTCAATGTGACATTTTGTACCACCAAGTAGGGTCGAGAGGCGTCCAAAAAGTGGTCACTTGTGTTCCCGCAGGGATTCTTCAATTTTCATGTTCCCATGTAGCCTTTACTGTTTTTTGAAGCAAGTCTCAATTTATCATGTTTTTCCATGGCACCCTTTTCCACTAAGCTGATTTGGGCGATTTGGGGGGGTTGTCTTTTTTTTACTCTTAGATTCTGAGCTCCTGGATCTCAAACTTTTTGGGAGGGCCATTTTGGCCAATCCGCACAGTATGTGAGTTTAGGAGTGGGGACCTTTGGACCACCCGCAGCGCTGGCGAGTCGAATTGAGGCCTCGGAGGATGCCAGGGCTGCCGCAGATGAGGCTGAGCGTACCATCTTAGAGGCGAAGGACATCCACGGGCTTCGGAGCCCGAAATCGTTGAGTGGGAAGACCTACCAAAATCTGCTGGGGGCTGATTCCCCAGTCCAAAAAGATATCGTTCTGTTTCCAAAGCCCGGATCCGTTTTGCTTGGGTTCATCCATTCTAAAAGGTTCTGACCCTGAATGGGCTTGAGATTCCAACCATTCTTTCAACAAACATTGGATATTTTCTCGAAAACTGGATCCGTCTTCAACTTGTGCTTCCGAAGGTGTTCTAGAAATAAGGATGTCTGAAAAGCATGGACATGCAAGGTACCCCTGCAAGAGTGCGAGTTTGGTGATTATTGTTTGGAATTCGTTGCCCTTGAGTGATGACAAGCGCCCCTTGTTTAAACAACCTCGCTGGTTTTTCTGCAAAGCCGCTTGTTGATTCCACATTGTCCCAAGCCTGTGGTGTACCCTTCATTTTGTTAGGCAACCAAAGAAGAACAAAACAGAAAGCCTGTTCAGGCATTTGGAACGATCAGGACATGTTGCAGTTTCATGGGCGGGAAGGATGAACCTGGGGCACGTCAACCGCCAACCAAGCCGCCTGAGGCTTTCTCCTTTTGCCCTTCTTGGTCGGAGCACACATTCCAGTTTAATGGCAATTGAACAGTGCCTCCCCTGCAATTGTGCATTGTTGTGGGCCATGGTGGGTGGGGAATATGGGTGCGCTTTTGAGGGTGCGCTTTTTCTTGGTTTGCCGGGATACCAATTTTGGGGGTTCCTCGATTTTCACATACAGCGGCCGGTGAAGTACAATACACATAATGGTTTTGCCAATGACTCACATAATTATGATTGTTGAGGTGAAGGTGCACATACCAAAAAGCAAGGGCATGCCCCAGTGCCTGAGTACGACTGAAACCCTGGAGATGTGACGTTGGAACTTCACGACACAAAGCTCGTGTGATATGACAAATATGGGATTAGCAAAGGGATGCTAGTCCCATATTTGTCATATGACACGAGCTTTGTGTCGTGAAGTTCCAACGTCACATCTCCGGGGTTTCAGTCATGCCCTTGCTTCTTGGTATGTGCACCTCCACCTCCACAACCAAACCTACCTATGGGGTCTCTTGTAAAGACTTGGCACGGGGGGCTGCACCTAGTTCTGGCTGAGACCGATTCCGTGCGGGCCGGGCCGGCAAGATCATCGGGAGATGCGGCTGAATCCCTTCCGCCGGCCCGGGATTGATGTTCAAAACCCTCAAGAGAGACAGGTTCCAAGAGAACCTTTCCTGGGGCCTTTCCGGGGGTGGGCTTGCTGAATTGAATCCCAAAGCGGCAAAAAACAAAGTCCAGCGCAGGACATTGGCGGCCTGACGCAGGCAGGTGCATCCAACTGCCATGTTTGTTGGACTGATGTGCGGTTGAAACGCTCTTCCGGTCACCCTGAATTGGTTTGGATGGGTGATTTGGGGATGTGAACCACAATCTCATTTGTGCGCGTGTGCATGTGTATGTGTGTGTGTGCCCATTGTTGGGATGTTTTGAAGAACACCAATGGGAAACCGAAGCCCATTTTGCCGGGCGTCCCCAGTTTGAAGCCAACCTCAACTGAAAGGCAAATTATGTTCGGGGCCATCTTTGTGGGGCTTTGTAATTCCTACCTTGATTTTCCTGCTATCATGGGCCGAATTCAGCCTTTGGAATTAGAATAGTTTTGACCCCGTATGAAGCCCCAGTTTATTAGTAGGGGGGTATTCCCCTCCAAAAGTAATGATTCCAAGGACACTCCCCTATTAACACGCTGGGGTTGATTAATACTGTGGACGGACGAAATCCTGCGCCACAAAAGAAGCCCTGGAATGATGAGTCCCCTGTACATACCAACGGACCATGGTTCCCATGGTTTCAAACTGGTGTAGGATTCCGTCCATCCACAGTATTAACACGCTGGGGTTGACTAATATGGGGTCAACGGCTACCACTCCAATGAGGAGCTTACCGACCTGCAGCAGCGCTTCAAGAGCGCGAGGATGGAAGTGGACAAGCACATGCGTGCCCTGGCAAGGAAGTGGAGTGGTCTGCTCCATTGTTTGTTTGATATGCTTCCATTTGGTTGGGAATATCTTGTATTTTCCCCGGTTGGTTTTAAAGGGAATCTATCGCTTCTGGACATATTCCAGAGGACTTGAGCAAATGGAGGTATAAAGTAAGGGCTAGATAATGATATCCTTAACCAGTATGGTTCCTGTTTGTGGGAACCGTGACCCAATCGATGGGTTTGTTTCGATGTGTGATGGCAACACCAAGGCATTGCGGGAGTTGTTGGGTTTGTCTCCAAATCGGGTATGGTCATGAATCTGATCGGTTGGAGCACCAATCCCAAAATGGTTTGCAATGCCAAAGGCCAAAGGGCCCCTCGTGCCCAAATTGATGCCCAAACTATCCAAAAAGGCGGGGGGAGCATGGACCAGGGGGCCGGTCCCCCAATTTCTTTGTCCAAGGGGACCGGCCAACGCGCCCCGCGCCCTTGTGGGTTGAAGCCGATTTTGACCTAAGCTACAAGTGCAATGGTCAAACCACCCTTTTTTTGATGGTCATCATCGGCTGAGTAGAGGTCCTAATGGACCAAAGCAAAGTTGTGGCTTCAAACACACATAGATAAATCTATAGATTAATTGAATATGATTATAATATGATACATAGATACACGCGATTTCGTCTCAAAGCTCGCTGGGAGCTATTTTAGCGCCAATCGAGCATGTTCCACTTCTCCAGGTTTGATTCTAGGGCTTGGATTCTGGCGATTGCATGTAGCTTGCAAGCAGCGTGGTGTGCCACGCCAAGCCAGCCAGCTGAGTCCGATTGCTCATCCCAGGGCCTGATGAAGCACAATTACTCTGTATGGCTGAGACCGCAGGGGGAGTTGCAAGCGAAGTTGGACAATTTGGTGGGCCAAGTGAGCTCTCGCTTCCATGGCCCCCCCTTCCACTTTCACGTGACCTTGCTGGGCAGCATCACAGGCGACCTGGAGGCCCTGAAGGGTGAGCTACAGAGTTTGGCGTCCAGGCTGCAGCCCTTCGAGGTTCGCTTCCCTAAGAATGCCCTGGCCGTCTACGAGACGTGGAATCAGTGCCTGCTGCTGCTGGCAGAGCTGGGGCCAGAGCTGAGAGCAGCGAACCTGGCAGCAGTGCAGCAGCTGAGCGACCCGTCAGCCCAGGAGGCGAGCTTTGCAGTGCCCAGCAGGCAGCCCCATGCTTCGCTGCTCTATGGGCTGCAGCCTCTTGAGGAAAGAAGGCAAGCCGAAGCATGGGTGCGACAAGAAGCTCCTTGGATGTCCGGTGGCTGGAGCTTCAGAGCGTCTCATTTGGTTCTGTACGAAACAGATACTCCGGCAGATGCGTGGGAAGGAGTTCCAAGCTGGAAGAAGGTGGCTGAGTTTCCAATGGCGACAGCAGGCTAAAACTGATCTGATCATGTTGATATATCGATATGGCCATGAATTTTAACAGGGAATCACCTTAAAAGTGATTGGTGGACATGAATTCCCACCTAAATGATGTCCACCAAAGGGCCTTATTCAAATTCATAGCCATATATAGAAATATCTTCCAGGTTTTTGGTCCCCCTCCCATCCCAACCCTGGTCATGGCACCCCCCCCCCCCCCGCGCTGCCGCGCTGTGGGGTAGCTGTTTGGGGTTGGTTGCAGGGTGGTTGAGGGATGGTCACTCTAAACAGAGTGAGTTTAGGCTGGGTCTGGGACGTAGACTCGCGTTAGCCCGAGGACCGGGGATACCGGGGATGCACGGGGATGTTGGGGGCAGCACGAACCTGGCGAACCTGGGACGAACATATGGGTGTGTGTCAAAATGAGGGATCCTTTTTCAAGTGCCTGGTTTCCTTTTGGTTGCCAAAAAAGCCGTCCAAAAAGGGGCTTCCCTATTGTGAGACGCCCGTATATACAAAATAACATTGAAGAAGTGTTACATGAATACAGATTAAAGCGAGTGGTACACCTTCAGGGGTACGTCGACACATGACAGGTCGCATCTTGCACCCAAAGTTAGCAGATCTCATGCGCCAAGGAAGGGGACAACCCCTTTTTGGGTTGCTTGTCAACCATCCACCCTGTCCCAAAAAAATGCGACAAAGCTAACGATCATCGAGCGCTTGCAGTTGGTTTGGGATCAGCTGCTCGGCAGCTGAGGCTTGTGCTCCACTGTGGAGCATCGACTGCAAGCCCTGCAGCTGAGTGAACAGGCGCGCCGCTGATCGGTTGCAAGGAATTGGTCCTCACACCACGGACCTGGTCCACGAAAAAAATACACATGCCCAAAACCCAAGAGGGGAAATCTAAAAGTTAGCTTTGTTTCTGGTGGTTTGTAGTTTTAGTTGTTAACTACCTTTTTGGGTTTGGCAGAACTGTTATCGGCCTGAATCTTCCCCAAGATGGCTGTATGATGGGTCTCTTGGTTTGGGGAGGGCCAGAGGACCTACACTAACCCTTGAGACCAGGCTCGGTCGACATATCCAGTAGTGTCTAAGGTCTATTTGGGAGGGACATTGAGGGACTCACGGATCTTTTTCCACAGACGACAACAACAGAGGGATGGCACCCTGCACATTTGTTGTGTCCTCGACTCATGTACCTTGGATCCTGAGAGCACAGGATTACAGACTCTTGCTTGTTTTGTTTTGGGGGGTCCTTTACATTTCGGAGAACCATGACACCCCCGGTCCTGGTAGGGAGGCATGACCATAGCTCACATTTCGGTTGAGTTTGGATGACGTGGGTCTGTCTTTAAGCCCCCCCCCCCAAAAAAAAAAGAAAGAAGAAGAGAGATCGGGTTTTCCTTTGGAAACACCATGAAAACAGCCATTTCTAGGGGAACCACTCCAAAAGACGAGCCACTCCCAGGTGATTCGCTTTTTTGTTTCTTCTTCTTTTTCCGGACTGAGCTTGCAGGCCTCTGCCAAGATCAAGGGCTTGGAGGAGCAAGCCACCAAGATGGCGGAGCTGGTCGCCAAGGCGGGAACCCGCGGCGCTGGCGGAGGTGGACGTTTCTTTCGGGCAAATGGGCAGCCGGTTGGGTTTGATGACCTGAAGCCTCCATGACCCGGGGAAAAAAACAAAAACAAAACATATATGGGTCAACGACCTCATATTTTTTGGTAATGACCCCATGTTTTAAGGGTCATGGAGACTGCAGGTACCCCCTTTCCAAGAGGAAAGGAGTTATTGGACAGGGGTCTGTGCACTTCCATGTTAGTGGGTGGGAGGGTACAAGGAGAAACAGCCAGTAGATTTGGGTTCCCCAATTTTGAGACACATGGCAAGTCACGAGCTCACCCATGAATGTCCTTCTGGGGATTCCGCTGATTCCGGTTTGAGGCTTACAGCAAGCTCGGAAGTTGTTGTTTTTTTTTGCCCAGAAAGCTTTGCCTTCTGTCGGTTGCTCAAAAAAAACGATGTGTTTCTTGTGCAGAGCTGGTCTGGGCGTGTGCCTCGTCAGTCGAATTCGGGAGCGGTGTAGTTCGCCGCATGGAAGGCCAGGAGTTGGGTTTATGGGCCTCCAGGCCTTCCCAGCGCTTGCCACGCCACCGTTCCCTATGAATCGCTACCTCTAGTTTTTGTTTTTACAAAATAAATAAATCAACATAATATGGTTTGTTTCCCCTGGTTAGCTAGAAGAGCGGCTTCTTGGCTGGAAGCACTGGGCACTCAAAGAAAGACACTCTTGTTTGGGGTGCCCAGGTGGAGACGTCCGAGGGAACGGAGAGTTGTTGTTTTCCCCGACAGCTGAAAGCTTTGGGGTCCATGTGGCTGTGGGTAAAAAATAGGTACCACAAATGGACCCCTGTGAAATGGAAAGAAGGACTAAAACCTGCGGTCCCCTGGTGGTTCAATTTTGACCCACACCCATGTGGTCCCCCCCAAAAAAGTGACACACCGCTTTGATGCGAGGTGATGGAAGATTCAGAGGGCAGCAGCCTGCAGTCTGCGGAAGATACTGCTGGGGTGTTGAACAAGGAGGCGCGCATGGAGCGCGGCACAAGGTTTCATTTGGGTTTGTTGTGTGTGAGAACCAGAACATATCCAGAACATCGCACAATTCAGCACGGATTCGCGCTAGTTGCCCTGCTGCAGCCCAAATTCACCAATCTGCCCTAAAGCGCGGGTCCTTTTGGTTGATTGCCCCAAAGACTCAATTGCTGGGCTTCAGTCTTGGAAGCAAATGGGTGTCTTTTGAAGGCTCGGTACCCTCTTGGCTGCCCCTGTCCGATTTCGGCGGTTTGCGCTTGCCACGCTGGATGTGGCTAAGAGGATTTCAAGCGGGACCGGTTTCAAAGATGGCACATCAGTTCAACCAGGTGGCTGTGAGTCAGAATTAGGTTCCCAAAATGGAACCCTTGTAAAAGGAACCAAGGACCAACACCTGAGGTCCCCTGCTGGTTTCATTTTGACCCATACCCATGTGTTGAAGGGTCACCAAGGAGGGTTATCCAATTTCAAGTCATCCATGCCCAGAAGACTTGCTTCGGGGTGGCCATCAAACGCTGATGGCCGCAGGTGCTCAAAGTGGAGGAAGCCCTTTTGGCTGGTTGCAGGGAAACAAAGGGAAGCCAGCCATCTTAGGGGACTGTTTTTTTGAGGAAACAACCAACCGTGCTTATATGTTCTGACCCAGGATCATAAAAAAAAACCCTGGTTCATGTTGATTGCCTTCCCATTGATCCAAGCCCACGAAAGGTCGGTTTGATGTCGGGAAGCGCCCCAAACCTACGTAGACGTTTTTGCTCCGGGAAGACACAGGAGCTGAAATTGCAATGCTCTCGCAGCAAAAACGTACAACACAGCTTGGCCGAGGCTGTTGCCAATTCATTCGACGAGAGCATATGGCTATGTTTTCAAGAGGAACCACCCCTCGCACATGGTCAGGCACAAATCCAACCATGCTTCGTTTACAAAATATACACCTGGAGTCTCCATGACCCTTAAACAATGCGGTCATTACCCAAAAAAATGAGGTCATGGACATTTTTCGAGGGTCATGGAGACTCCAGGTACATGTCCAGGAAGGGGTTCCTCATCAAAAGCTCCGAAAGCCCGTTTCGGTTTGGGGCGGAATTTCTGCGAATCTGCCGCAGGTGATGCAGCAGTTTCGGCACTTGGATTTGCAGGCGGCGTCGCGGGATGAGGCGAGCGCCCTGAGAGAGCTTGAGGTGTTCCTTGGTTTTCCTTGGGCCAGGCTAAAACGGGTACCTGGAGTCTCCATGACCCTTTGAAAATGGGTCAATGACCCCATTATTTTGGGTAATGACCCCATTTTTTAAGGGTTATGGAGACTTCTCAAAACATAAAAAGCCAGCTGCTGATCATAGAACCGTGTGCCAGAAGCGCAGGGGTGCCTTCCTATTTTCTGTCGATGCGATGCTAAAGCCAGGGCGTTGATTTGGCCAGCCTTACCTTCAAAGACCATGAACCATGAATCACAGTTTTCCAACCACATTTGGTTGTAGAGCACGTTTGGAAAGGCTTATTCTTGTGGGCAACTGATGATAGGCACGCGGAAGAAGCTGCCGGTTGGGTTTTCTTACGGGTGTCCGTACCCCACCGTAAGACTCCATTAAACAAACTGCCACACGGAACACAATGCCCACAAGCATCATTGGTCAAATTGGCTGTTTTCTTGGGTCGCTTAGCTTAGGTGATTTCAAACCTGCTAGCGCACTAAGAAACGAAGAAACGGCACATGGTAGCATTGGCCGCTTTTCGCACTTGCCCTTTTCAAGCCCCTTTCGAAGTGCTCTTTGATTCTTTGCAGACATCCGAATGGTTGTCGCCAAAATTAGGTACCCAAAATGGATCCCTGGAAAATGGAACCAAGGACTAAAACCAGTGGTGACCCTGGTCTCAGTCTGTCGGCAGGTCTCCCATCCCAGGCTGCAGAGACACCAGCTGCCCCATTTGTCGGGTCACTTTCAGGAGACATGTGGCTGTGGCTCAAAATTAAACAGGACGGGCAAACCGAAAGGGATTTGGTCCATGCTTCCACTTACCGGGGTTCCATTTTGGCACCGGTTTTTTGAGCCACAGCCATGTTGGGCCGAGCCGTTTGAGAAGCATGCCTTGTCCTATGTATCCTTTGCAAGAATCCTATTTGTGGGCAAGCGTCGTTTGCCTCCCGTCTTCCATTCGCTTTTCTCAGGGTAATTATATCCCCCCATCAACAAATGCCCCGAAACTTTCTTTGGATGTCTCAAAACGTTGTTTCTCTTCAACCCCCCAAAAAGGGAGCCCTCAAGAATCACCTCAACACATTTTGTTGAGTTGCCTTGGTTTCCCTTCACCCCTCCGTCAGGTATTCCATTCCAATTCCTCCAATTCCCAAGCCAGCGTCCTTGGCGCTTTCTCCAAGCCCAGCGTCCTTCGCGTTTTCCACGTGCCGAGGCGATGCGAGATGTGGCGATCCGACTCCAGGAGCGCCTGAAGCCCGTGGCCGCCAGGTGCGAGGAGGCCTCGACCTCCCTGAGGCGGACGGGTCGAATGCGAGCGGGTAGAGTAGAGATGAGGTTGGCAGACAGATCCAAAAAAGGAGGAAGAAACATAGGCGGTCCAAAAATAGGTGCCCCTGAAAAAAAGGCGGAGGTCTCCTTGTTGACATTCTATGGTATATATACATACCTGATGTGAATGCATGCATACATGCATACATGCATTCGTACATACATACCACCTACATACCTACGTACCTACGTACCCACATAGCTACATACCTACATACCTTCATACCTACGTACCTACATACCTACATACCCACCTACCCACCTACCACGTACCTACATACCTACGTACCTACATACCTACATAACATACATAACATACATACCTAAATACCGGCATACATACTTACATACATTCATACATACATACATACATCCCCACATACCCACATACCTGCGTATCGACATACCTACATACCATTCAAAAATACATACCTACGTACGACCTACACTCCTACATACATACATGCATGCATGCATACATGCATACATGCATACAAGCATGCATACATGCATACATGCATACATGCATACATGCATACATGCATACATACATACATACACATACATACATACATACACATACACATACATTTACATAAACATACACGGATACATACACATATACATATGCACATGCATATACACATACAAACACATATACATATACATATGCACATACATATACATATACATATACGTATACACACATATACATACATGTACTTGCATATACACACATATCCATACATACATACATACATACATACATACATACATACATATATATATATACATGCATACATAAATATACATACTTACATACATTGATACGTGCATACTTTTATTCATACATACATTCATGCATTCTTGCATTTATGCATTCATTCATCCATTCATTCAGTCATGCATTCATACATTCATGCATTCGTGCATTCAATCATCCATTCATCCATTCATTCATTGATTCATTCATCCACTTACTCATTCATTCACTTATTCATTCATCATTTGTTCATACATTTATACATTCGTGCATTCGTGCATTCGTGCATTCATACATTCATGCATTCATACATTCGTACATTCGTGCATTCGTGCATTCATACATTCATGCATTCATACATTCGTACATTTATACATTCATACATTCCTACCTGCGTACATTTGTACATTCGTACATTCCTATAATTATGCATGCATACATGAATACATTGATATTTTCATACATTGCATACATTACATACATTACATGCATTACATACATTACATACATTACATACATTACATACATTGCATGCATTGCATCCATTACATACGTGTTGTGCGCAGTGTGTACGTATGTACATACATATATACCATACATATATACCATACACACATACATATATACATACATACATACATACATTACATTACATACATACATACATACATACATACATACATACATACATACATACATACATGCATACATACATACATACATACATACATGCATGCATACATACAGACACACACACATACATACATAAATACATACATACATACATACATACGTACATACATACATACATACATGCATACACGCATACATGCATACATACACACACATACATACATACATACATACATACATACATACATACCTACATACCTACATACCTACATACCTACATACCTACATACCTACATACCTACATACCTACATACCTACATACCTACATACCTACATACCTACATACCTACATACCTACATACCTACATACCTACATACCTACACACGCACATACATACATACATACATAGATAGATAGATAGATAGATAGATACATACATACATACCTACATACCTACATACACACACATACATACATACATACATACATACATACATACATACATACATACATACATACATACATACATACATACATACATACATAGAGACATACATACATGCATACGACATACATACGTACGTACGTACATACACATATATACATACGTGCCCACATTTACGATCATCTGCAGTAGTACAGGGAATGACGTGGGGCAAGCCCCAAAAACCACAAGAAAACACTCAGACCATCTGAATATTGACGCTGGTGACAGGCTACATCGTCAGAAGGTCGCGGTGAAACTGGCCATGGCTGAGTGCTCGCAGAGGGTCACCGAGACGGAGGCTGGGCCCAAAAGCATTTGAGCAGCACCCAAACTGAGTCGTTTTCGTAGGTGGTTCGGTTCCTACCCGGCTTCAGAGTGGCCGATATACACCATGATAACCATGTTGGTAGAACCGGGTGTTGGACGCTGCTTTTTTGAGAAGTCGACAATTTGACGCCGCACAAACCGATAGGGGCTGGCTTAAAACCGATACCAACCTGGAAAACCGACAGCGGCACACCCTAAACTGCTACCTTGGTGACACTTGGGGGCCAGATTTCTCTTGCACAAAGCACTGGATATTTGGAGACCACAAAGATACGAAGGCCTCGGAAACTGAACAAGGTTAAAGCCGCAACCAGCAAGCCTACGACCCGCCGTCTCCTTGTGTCGTTTTTTCTAGGTCTCCTTTCTTTTCGGAATTGATTTCAAGGGAAGCACCGAGAGATTGGTCTCTTGTTTCGATTGGCTGTAGACCTAGACTCTAGGCTGAACAAGGGGTTCTCAATTTATCTTTCGTGGTGGGAACCCCCTCCAAGCCACCACTAATTATATTCATGTGTATATATATATATGTATATATATTTATGTAGAGAGAGAGAGAGTTTGAGGATGTCGCTTTGGACCTAGCTTTCCCCCACACAACTTCGGCCGAGGCAGCTGTGAAGACCGCTGGTGAAGCTGAAGAGGCCGGCGAACTGGTCCATAGCTGTCGAGGGGATCGATGTGTGGCCAAACCATTTCGCACGCATGTGACTGGGTTGGCGACCCCAAGGGTTGAGGCTTATCGTCTGTTTTGATTCGGAAAAACATGATGCACATATTTGGCAGACAGAGGCATTTGCCCACCATGTTTTTGAGTACGAATGATGTCGCACATGGGCTTGTCCCTCAAAATTGTTTGGTGGGCAGAGGCCAACGTACCAACTCGCCCCGTGCAGTTTGTGACATGAGCTTGTAACCCATGTAGGAATTTTGCCAAAACAGTCATTTCGATTCTCAGAACATCAAGCTTCCACCGACCAGTGACACGAAATAATTCACCACCAATATGCTAGGTGCCAGTTAAACTCAAGCTTTCCCAAGACCATGCTTCCAGTACCACTCTAGTGCCCTTCAGGTTTCTTATCAGGTTCTGCCACTCGTTTCCCTTGGCTACCTATGGGGTTACGTTACCCCCGGAAAAAACAACAACAACTACTTGGATACATATAAAGGGGGGGGGTTGATCAAAAGGTCGTTTACAACCAAAAATATGATACTTCAACCACAAAATAGATAAAGTTAGCCATGGGCAAAACTGGGGGCCAAGAATATTGATCAACCCCCACATAGGCTTCTCTCTCAACCCCCTCCCTTCAGCGGGTACCCGTAGACGGTCACCCATTGAATTGGGGATCTGAAATGGCCAACAACTACTTGGCGGACGGACGAAATTTATTTCGCACTACTTTGAATCCATGGTTGAAAACATATTTTGAAGGTATCTACGTTGCGGAATCGACTCATTCCAGAGTTTCTGAGTTCGGTGGTGCGAGACTCGCGGATTTTCGCACCCATCCACCTCATCAGTATCTTGCCATATGAAAACAGCGGATCTCGCAGGCCTTCCATCAGGCCGCGCAGACCGGCTCCCAGGCGCGCAGTTTTGGTAGCGAATCGCCCTCGGATCGCCGCGAAGCCCTGGATGGTGGTTTTGGTTTTGGGTTGCTAGGACTATGCTTGAAGCTGTTGATGGTTGTTGGGTCTTCTTTTTGTTTCTTCTTTCCAAGCAGCAACTTCACAGAGCACACGCGGAGGTTGTTGATGGTGCCGTGCCTCGTCGACAGAGCTCAAGCAGAGACTTCTGTTGTGGCAGGTGCTCAATCACGAAACTCTTATGAGTTTGGACCAAGGCACATCGTGTTTTGACAATTTTCGGACCCACAGATGGCTCCGGGCTTTGAGTGCCAAACTGAAGGTGGAGGATTGACACCTCAAAGTTGAAGTAACTCTAGGGGTTGATTCAGCCATCGTTCTTTTCAATCAGCCATTTCCCCAGGGTTTCGGGTGGTTTTCTAGAAAGACGGATCCCTGGAAAGAATGGGGAAGTTGCTCCAGCAGCGTTTCGGGCCCGTGCGGCTATGGACGACCCCTTCCCATGTGCTCAGGCGGCTGCGCTCACGAGCCTCGAGACTTCCATCAAGGCCCCGGGGCGCGGAGTGTGGTGTGTGGGGCTTTTGGGCGCCAACAAAAACCGGGCGGCTTTTCCGTTGACCTTCCTTGAAAAGCCAACCCAACCCAAATTGGGCGCCCAAAAACCTGAAGCGAGAAACACGTTCCAACCCAAATTGGGTGCCCTACAAAAACCAGAAGAAGCGAGAAACAACACATTCCCACTTGTGGCTGTGTAGAGGATACCAGGATACCAGCCAGTTGAACAGTTGCCCAAGAGCGAGCTTGGATCCTGTGGTACCCTTTTCGCCTTGGATTGAAGGGAAACCACCAGGAAAGCTGTCATGTTTGGGCCCAGCTTTGACACACAGGTGGGTTGGTCCTAAAATTTTGTAACAAGTTCGATAGAAGGAAACCATCTCACCAGAAAACCACTCAGAGGTCGCTTTTTTGTTGCAAACACCGTAGCTGGGCAAATTGTGAGCTCTGGGGGTACAACAGCTGCTCTGTGACCAAGGTCTTTCGCTTGTTCTGGGAACCCAGGGAGAGAAGACCCAAAAGAAAACCCACCAAATCGCTGGGAAAACGGTTGCTTTTGTTGCAAAGGATGGCTGAAGCAAACAGAATGTTGGGTGAATGAGGAAATGCACTGGGTCGGTTCCCGTGACCCTGTCAGAACCCAACATACGAGGCATCAACCCAAGCCCCAAGCCTCTCCTGACGGCCCAATTGGCCAATTCTTCGAGGCGGCGAACGGCGCCATCAACAGCACAAAGTCTTTGCTGTCATTGCCCGGGGCCTCGGTTCCACTTGGGAGTGCATCTGAATGCAAACCACGCATGTCGCTCCGATGAACAATTGAGGGTGTCACTTTGGACCGGCGCTGAGCTGACTTTTGGGTAGCCCAAGCCCTGTACTGTCTAGGTCCATAGCCATTCGCAAAGGCGCTCGGATGTAATTACGATTGGCGGGTAGCATTCATTCCGCCATCAACAAAGGAAGCATCCAACGCATTGTACAATGCCACGAAGGCATGTCATGATTGGCTGGTGCTGGTGTGCTTTATGGGAACCCCGAATCTATGAACTCCGGGTTGATTATTGTGGAGTTGCCCCAACTTTAGAGGGGATGCGGATCATGTTTGTGGGGGAGCTTTAGCATAACAGTGTTTGACTCCAAGAGCCACCGAGCATACCCAGGACAGCCTATGAAAGGAATCTTCACGGGGTGTGCTCAAAGGGTATGGAGGGTTCCTGCCTGCCTGCCTGCCTGCCTGCCTGCCTGCCTGCCTGCCTGCCTGCCTGCCTGCCTGCCTGCCTGCCTGCCTGCCTGCCTCGTTGGTTGGTTGGTGGGTTGGTTAGTTGGATTGACCAGTACTTGCCGAGCATCGCCCTTTTCTCCTTTTGGATTTCTCTCATTCCCCGGTTTTTTGTGCCTGGGCTTCGCCTGCATGGTCGCGCGTTTAAGCGCCAGGAAGCGCGTGGAGGTGAAGCGCCTGGCGAAGGAACTGTCCAGCTCCACCATGGAGGAGTTGGAAAGCCTGCAGAAGCGCCGGGAAAGCTCAGGGGACATAGCGATGGGTCTACGTCGCTGCTGGGAAGTGGATATACCTGGAGTCTCCGGATCTGACCCGAAGGTTCCTTTGGGTTGCGCAAACAAAAACGCTGAGAAGGGGGCGTTCCTTCCTGGAGTCTCCGGATCTGACCCTATAAATAAGAATGGGTCAATCACCAACCATGATTGTGGGGAATGACAAAATAATTATTGAAGAGTCAGAAGGAGACTCCAGGTTTGGGTTACGCTTTAAAAAGCCACCTGAAAATGGAACACCGCCCAAACAAAATCAACCAGGTTTGTTCATGTTGGCCTCCTGGCTTCCAGTTGCTGAAATGATTTCTTTTATTTCCCCTCTTGGTTTTTAACGGAAACGATTTCACTACTGGACATATTTTCCCATTGCTTTGGAAGTGTTCCTTTGGGTTGCGCCTAAAAACACCACCCCAACGTGGGTACAACCAAAAGAAACGACCTGGAAAATGGCGGGGGGGCCTTAAAATGGATGGTTTCCCTTTCGCTTCCCTTGAATTCTGCACAATACAAGCCCGGATAACCATTACATGTGGGTTGGCTATTTTAACCGCGCTTAAGAACTTCGGGGAGGGATGGGGGTTAGGGGCTTTCTGGTTCGAGAGCATTGGGAGCCCTCATGAGAGGGTTGGCGCAGGCCCTGGGTTCCTTTTGGCTTCCCTTTGGAACCACCAAGAGGTATCAACACTCCACATGGAACAGCCCAGTTTGACTTGGGCTAGTGGCCATGAACCCGGGAAGTGTAGACAGAAACTGGTAAATATTCCTGTTGGAACCCATGACTCTGACACAGAGTTTTGACCATGGCAAGTGTTTTTGGCTGAGGTGTTGATGACTGCACCCAGCAGCTTGCCCAGAGCAAGAAGGTGGTGGCAGATCGGCAAAGTGAGGCTCGGGGTGCAACAGCGTGGCTTCGTCTCAACTCGCTCACCGATGGAATAGAACTTCATGATGCAGGTCCCTTATGCTGTGAAGTTTCAACGGGTTCGGAACCGCCTGAAAAGTGTTTGCTGAACATTAATCTCCACCTGGAGTCTCCATGACCCTTAAAACAATTGGGTCATTACCCAAAATAAGGGGTCATTGACCCGTTGTTCAAGGGTCATGGAGACTCCAGGCACCGAAGTTTGATGTCCTTTGGACCCTTTGGCGAATTGACCTTCATGCCCACGGGACTTCTTACAGCATGTGCTTTTTGGCGGTGTGGCAAGCTAGGGATCCGCAACATGGGTGGT